TCTTGGTTAAGCCAATCAAATGTGTGCATCATGCTTATGGGTTAAGTATTGCTATAATCAGCTTTTTATAGAGTGGAAACTGAGGTATAGGAAGTATAGGTAACTTGCTGGGCATGTTAGCCTGAAAACCTGGGGCCTTGTTTCAATCTCTATGATGTTTTTACCTCAGTTCAAATCAACACAAACACTTGTTGGAACATGTTCCCTTTTGTAGTTAGAGGTTTCAGGGAAGAATCTCTAAATTGATGTTTGTGGCAATAGAAAGATATTTACTGTAACATGCTGGGGACACAGAATTTCTTTTTCTTAAACTACAATGCATGTCATCCTCTTCTTTGGACAATGTTGATTTTTGTGAAATAAATACCATCCACTTTAGAAGAAAGATACTAATATGGTCAATTCCAAAGGCCACAGTAGTTTCATTTATTTGGCAATTAAATGAGAGTCCACTCCTCTGGACACTGCAGGCGTAACAGTGACTGGCAATGGTGAAGCCTCAGCTCTCATGAAGCTGACCTCCAAAGGGTCTGAGCCGGGGGAGACACAGATCAGCAACATATATAATGTGTCAGCCAGTGGTGATGCATGATGCTGAGAAAAAAGAAATTGCGGTTTTAAGGAACATGCAGGAGAAGATGGTAGTTATGCTGTTTATATTAAAACGCAATAGGCGAAGGATGGCCTGGGTAAACTGAGAGATGAGGACTCCTGGTAGGGATGAGCATGTGCCAAACCCCTGAGGTCGGGACCATGCTGGCATTCAGTAATCCTTTATAAGAGCTGAAGATTGGACTTCTGCATCAGCCAAAAAGACTGATGGAGCAGCAGAACCGTCAGCCTGTGGTACCTGGGTGCCTGCAAGGGTGTGTATGTGATTCCAAGAGTGTATAGTGCCGGCCAGTCCAAGTGCTATTCCTACCCTAAGTCTGTATAAGGGGTGTTGTGCTCATTTTTGTCAACACTTGTAGGAATTTCACTTTCCACAGACCCTTTTCATGGTTTATTATTTTTTGGAGCAGGCCATTTTTGTAACGCTTAAAGGATACATCAAGGATGTTTAAATTCAAAGTGTTGATTAAGTGCTCCAGACACTCAGTTCCTCTCTTGGGAGGCAACACTACCACCCTTTATTCTGTGCCTGCAGACAATCTAGATGTCCAGATGCACACTGAGCATAGAGGTGAGAGGTCCAGAGTATCTGTGTTTCCATCCTGGGCTTGTTTTCCTTATATGACCTTAGCAGGTAGCCATACATCTAAATGCCCCCACTCTTTCATCAACAGGAGAGAAAGTCATCACTGGACTGTTACAAGGATTAACTGATACTCTTTACATAAAAAGTATGGAAGGTGAAGTATTTATCTGATTTTTGGTACATAATCTCTCATAAATGTTAGTTCTCATGAACATACTTATAGGACGCTCTCATGGTAACCCCACTATACAGATAAGGAAATGAGTCCTAGAAATGTGGAGAGGTAGCTGGACAGGATGCCTTAAGCCTGAAAGCCCAGCACTGGTAAGGCCAAGGCAGGAAGATTGGCACACATTCAGCCTGGACCACATAGTGAATTCCCAGCCAGCTTGGACTGTAGAGGGAGACACCGCCTTAAAAAAACAAAAGAAGAAGAGAGATGGGGCTGGAGAGATGGCTCTGTGGTAAAATTACTTCCCCCGCAATGAAGAGCACCAGAGTTCACACCCCCAGAACCCACATAAACGATAGGTGGGCATGGTGGTCTACCTGACAGACAGCCTAGCCTTGGAAGGCAGAGACTAGCCATGCTGCCGAGCTCTGGGTTTGACTGAGAGACCTGTGGGTCCCAGTGATAAGGTCGGAGAGCAATAGGAAAGGTGATACCCTTGAACCTCAGGCCTTTACCTGCACATGCATGCATGCGTGCACAAACACGTGTGCCTATACACATGAAACATCGTACACACACACACACACACACACACACACACACACACACACACACACACACACACACACACGGAACAAAGAAATAAACAAGGAAGGGAAAGGTCAGAAGTCTCCCAGGGAGCAGTGGCCAGCAGGTGACAGCACACCGTGCCGGGGTCCCTCCGTTCCCACCTCCGGAGTTTCCCAGGTAATGAGGGGCCTCTCCTGTGCTGTTCTTTTAAACAAAGTAAACTATGGAAATGCCCATGAACAGAAATGCGAAGAAGAGGCGTGTGGTTGTTGGAGAGGCTTGTCAAATCCTTTTATTTTTAACCGTGGCTTTAGTCAAGGGTATTTCACAAATGCTCGTAAAGTTCATTTCCACCTCAGGCAACTCCTTTCTTTTCACAGATGCCTCTGGAGTGTTATGTTCCATGAATTCTCACAGGAGTGAAAAATACCAGACAAAGTAGACAAAGCCTCCGTTTCCATGATGGTCACAGTTGCAAGAGATGTGGAAAAATTGATATCAAAGCATTAAAATATCACGTAGTATTTGCTTTCATAGAGTTTCTCTAAATAGTGGAAAGGATAATTTCCTTAATTTTTTAAATGATTTTTTTTATAGAATTTCCCAATTTTATTGTTTTTTAATATACATCAGGTAGTTCTTGGGAACAATAAGCTAGTTCTGCAATTGTGGCACCTTAGAATGTACTAAGCATTTGGTGCTGTTGCTTGTTTTGAAGGTTCAGTGGTTTGCAGGTAGGTGCAGCACTATTTGCTAGCTGAGATTCTGTTATTAGTGGCTCGTATACAATTTTCAGCCCGTGAAGAACTAGCAATGGGCTTGGGTCTTAAGGAGATTGTACCCGAGGTGGGCAATGTGAGCACAGCCCGCCTGGAAGCAATGACAAATTATAAATGCTGTCAGCTATTATTTCTTGGATGAAGGAAGAAACAAACCTTGAACCATTAATTCTGATTTGTCTGGTGCACGTGATTTACCCAGCTACATGCCTTGAGGAAATAAAATACATAGTATTAGGCTTGGAAAATAATATACTTTTCAATCAGCCGACTTCAGTCAGCTCGTGAGTTTTCTTTTTTTAAATAATATTTTTCACATTTTCAAATATATCATAGCAGGAATGCAATGAAAAAGATTGAAATGCAGAATGATGTCAATATTCGCTTAGTCATTACCATCGCTGAAGGCCCCAGATGTATTTCCAGTTGTGCTCTGAGCTTTCTTCTAGGCATGACTATTGTAGGGGGCCTGCCCCTACTTTTCTCCCTCTTGAGCAGGGAGAGAGGAAGAATATGTAGATAAACATATAGGGGAGAGAGACAGATAGAAACATAGGACAGCCTTGGGAGGGCCTGGGTCAAAACCCACCAGCCCCTTCTGTCGCTACTAAAGGGCTTTTAAAGGAATGCCAAGGGTGGAGCAAAATACCTCCCCCAGCACAGCCAAGTGCAGACCATCTCATACACCTGGTGATCATGCACATGGCCAAGCCATCCCCTAATGCAGCCCTGCTGTGTAAAGCAAGCTCAGCTCTCGCTAGGAAGCGTGTGTCGGCTCCCACCGATGATCATTGCCTGCTTCCTCACTCAGGTAACCTTGTCACTCACACTTCCTAATTCACCTGCCCTGGTAAGGGAAAGCATGCCTCATAGGGCTTCGGGCATCTCCATCCCCACTCAGTTAAGGGCGAGGGTTTTCCTGCTTAATTTTGCACACCTTCCAGCTGATGCCTGTGGGCCCAGAGCTGTGCACAGCCCACAGGAAGAGCCCCAAAGGCTTGTTCTGGGGTGAGAGCTGCGTTGTCGTTCCGATGCTCTCACTGCTGCAGGCAGGCTCCTCGTCAGCCTGTGCCATTCTTTCCTCTGTGGTCTCAGTGTGTATATGCCCCCAGCACTCGGATTGTTGAAGTCTTACATTCATTACCCTTCTCAGTGTGAAGACCAAACACTTGACACGTGACAGCTTAAGGGGGAGAATTCATTTGGGCTCCTGGTTTGAGGGTGTGGGAAAGCACAGTGACTGGAGTGGCTTGTAGCAATGGCACCAGAGCATGGGACAGCTTGTTCAGTGGACCAAGAAAGCAGGATAGGGTAGGAAACAGGCTGCCCCAAGCCCACTCATTACTCCCAGTGACCCATTCTTATTCCTCCAGCTATGTTCCCCCCCCATTAAGGGAGGTATCACAACCTCCCAAAACAGTATCACCACTTGGGAAGCAAGTTTTCATCCACATTCAAATCATAACAAACCTGAACCCCAAGGTTAAGAATTAGGCATTAGGAAATGGGGCTTTCGGGAGGTGCTTTGGTCCTGGGGACAGAACCCTCAGAGATGAGGTTAGTGGCCTTATCAAAGTGGTCAGAGGGTCCCCTCAGCCCTTTTGCTGCGTGAGATTACAGTGAGAGAATGATGGCCTGTTAGCTAGTGGATAGGTGCTAACTAGACACCAAACGGGCCTTGACCATGGACTGTCAGCCTCCAGAACTGTGAGAAATCAACTCACGTTATAAGCTTCCCAGTTTATGACAGTGTGTCACAGCATCCCAAATGAGCTATAAGACACACACCCCCTTTCTCAACCTCTCTAAAACCTGTCTTTGTACCTCTTCGTCTCGGTTCTTTTAGATCCTCCCTGTTTATCTAGTGAGCGTTCTAGACTTCCCAAGGCCTCGCTGCGTGTTGATTACCTAATGTATTACTACTTTTCTTGTTACGTGCTAAGAGCAACATCATGGTGGCTCACAGTTCAAGGGAACAGCCTATCAAGCAGGGACATCAAGGCAGGAGGAACGTGAGGCTGCTGGTCACAACACATCCACAGTCAAGAAGCAGGAAGTGATGGATGCTTGTACTCAGCTCACTTTTCCTGCTTAAGCACTCTAGGGTCCCACCCCAGGGAATGGCTCCATCCACAGTAGGTACATCTTCCCACTTCAATGAACCGAATCAAGACAGTCCCTCAAAGCCATGCCCGGAAGCCAAGTGAGTCTTGATCTCATCACCAGGTTGGCAGTTGAGATTAACCGTCATCTCTGACAAATGCATTCAACCTTAGGAATGTTGGAAAGCAGGCAGATTTCTTTAAGGCAGATCTGTTGTGTAGCTTCTTTTAGACAGATGGGCTGTTAGATGGCCCTAATCAGATGGAGATAGGGAGAAGGTAGCTGTCGGCTGCCACTTATCAGTGTTTGCCCTGAAGACATAGGCAGTGGCTCCAGGCTATTGGCGGAATGTTGAAAGTACTTTGGAGTTAAAGACTTGGGTTTGCAGTCTCTTCTTCATCCTGTACCACTCACTACCTGGGAAGAAAAGCTCGGACAGGTGCAGAACAAAGGGATTGCTGTTCTCTTTCCATATAAGAGCTGGAGACGTGAGATTTTCTCCAAGGGCAACACCATGTTTTGTCATTCCTGAAAGTGGATGAACCTCATCTATTTGCCCTGACTTGTTAAGATTGGCCCCGAGAAGTAAGTATATCTGAACAAAAACACTTATGGCATTCTCAGACCTCAGGCAGCCCATTCTTTGTGAGTCAAAGATCTCTTTCACCTGGCGTTGCAGAAATGAAGGTATTTTTTAGGAGACACTTATCTCCCTCAATCTGGCTACCAGACTGTTGAAACAATGGACCCCAAAGAAATGAGAATTTCCCCCAGGAATTTCAGACTGGGATAAGGGAAAGGTGCAACCAGAGTGGGAAACTTGTCTCTCAGGAAGAGATATCATACAGTTCTAATAATTTCTCAGACCATTATACAGGATGAGACTGAAGCCCAGAAAATAATGTGTTAGTAATGGGCAGGACCACACCTAGACCAGGACTGTTTAGATGTGCACATCCTTGCACCTTTATTTAAACTTCAATCTTACTTACATTAGGACCTCAAACAATAGATTTGGGGGTCCTGCTGAATCCCTTTGTCCCTGTTCCCCATGTGGCCACATTTCCATTATTAATTAGGTTCTTTTAATTGGCTATGGGGTTGGGTAACAACACATCCTGTGACTCCCAGGTTCAATAACATCCAGGGCTTCCCTTCTTTCAAGACTCCTTCCCTAGCCACTGCCCAGTGTCCTCTTGCCTGACTGACATGTACCCACAGCCAGCTTTCTCCAGTTTCTAGCCTGCCGAATCCGCTTGGAAAACTACATTGACTTGTTTTCTGCCTACACACACACACACACACACACACACACACACACACACACACACACACACACACCACTTTAAACAGTGCTATCCAGCAATGCGGTTCTTTCTGCCGCTGTGTAAAGTGCTGTTGTGCATCCACAACCATAGGGGTATGTCTGACTCTGATGAAATGAAATAGTAAAGGGTGGAGCCCAGCACTTGATGGAGATAGAACAAACACTAGCTTTCTTAATCTTTTCTGTGGTTGCTCTTCAGACAGGAAGTGACATGTGGCAGGCCATTTAACTCCTGCTCCCTTGCAGGGTTATGGTGCTAGGATAAGATAATGGACCTCTAGCCTTCCCTGTTGGGGGTTAAGTTCATCCTTCAGGTGACTTTAGTTTAACAGGCAATTTGTCCTCACCGTTGTGCCTCAGTTTCCTTGTCTACAGAGTTGGTATTTCACATGATTCCTATTTAGCATAATGTGGACCTTAAATTTGTTATTCTATGAATTGCTTACTAAATACTTGCCTGTCATAGAGCTGAGTGGCTAACTGCAGTATTTAAATATGAGAGGACTGTTTTGTTACTTCAGCTGTAAGCGTGGGGCTGCAGGGCCTCAACCTTAAAGCATTGGGTTTTATTGATACTCAGCATCAGGTAGCACATTCCCTTTAAGCTTGGATTCTCCAAAACAGGGGTGGAGAGTGTTGGGCCAGGGTTGGGATAAAAGCAACACCAGTCTTTCCAAGGACCAGTTTCTGAGTCAGCAAGGCAAGATGTATACATCTCTCAAACACCAGATAAGAGTCACTTGGCATTTGCTGGACACAGAGTCTAGGGCCTTGCCCAGGACCTAAATCTAAATATCCTGGGAGGAATGTTAGAATCTTGATGCCTAACAACCCAGAAAAATAATACTACCTGGAGGCACTAAGCATCAGAACACACATGAAGCTCCAGCAAACATGTCTGCTTGAATCTCACCACTGACGTTCTCATCCGACTGGTACCAGGGGCTGGGAGCATCTATAAGGACCCTTCCCGCCCCCACTTCCTCCTCCTCTCAGATATTTCTAATGTGAGCTAGGATTGAAAAACCACTGAAGTAGACTGTTGGATTTCTAGGTCTTCTCAGAATCAGTTGCAGTGTGTGTGTAACATGCTTACACATATGCAGCCGGCTAAGTTAGGCTCTACGTACAGGAGTAGTCAAGGGCTGAGGCAGGCAAGTGAGGCCCCAGAATTCACTTTCAAAACAGTCTTTCCCTGTGAGGCTTCTGCACGCTGGACTTTCTGAACTATCATTTGTCCCTTTCCTGAACATTGCTGAACAAATGACACCAGATCCCGAGATCTCCCCATTCTGATCCCATCCGTCAGAAATGAATTCATGCCTGAGCTGTGGGTAAAGCTCCAGCTGGCTTTCCTCTGATGGTTATGGTTTCCAGGTATGCATCTTGTTTTTAATATGCTTTGAATCACTTGTTGTGAGTTTTTTGTATGGGCCATGGATGTCACAGGTCAGATGATGAAATCACGTAAACTTGCTGGGACACTACAACAGGTCAAGCCAATTGTCCTTCAGTACGGGGTGGCTGTACTCTTGGAGCTGTTAAACCCAGCGCTGAAGACACCGAGGGCCGCTAGTCTGTTTGTTTCTATTATGCAGACAGAAGCAGCTATAGCCTGATTCATTGAACAGTCACATGGTCAACCTTTCCTATGGCCAAATTCAGACACAATTTACCAATAAGCTTTGCTCTTCACATTTCCCATGTGGCTGGTCTAGACTGAGGCTACTTAATGTATGGTTCTCATAGAGCAGCAGCCTTGGATCTCTGGCTAGAATATACATTCTCAGGCCTCGCCCCATCTGGCTCAGCCTGTTGGGTCTGCCTGACTGCCTGGCACCCTGTTTTGTTGTATTATACTGGCTGATTTCCGCTAGTATGAGTCAGCATCTGTAAGTCCCATTAACTTTAAAGATACTGAGAAGGTAATTGCCGAGCCTGGGAGGTCAGACTTACCTTTGGGCAGAGGTGAATCTATCAAGAAATTGTTACTGAACTGGTAGCCAGTTGGGGTCTGTCTCTTTCTTGTCTGATTCTCTAGAACTCCAGACCTGTGAGGCTACCACATGTTCCTGTAGATTACTCCAGTGGGGCTCATTTGGTTCTGCCATGTGCATACCAGTGAACTGTCCAGTGGCAGGAGCCTGCTCTACAGCCACCTTTGGAGCCTTTGCAAATGGTGACGAAAAGAGACTTCTTGAAATTCTATGGGGTAGCCAGGAATGGTGGTTGCATGCCTGTAATCCCAGAACTTGGATGTGTTTAGTTACGAAGTGAGATGTAGGACAGCTGGGCTATATGAGACTGTCTCAAAATCACAGACAAACACACAGCAATTCTATGGAGTGCATCTCTCTATAAATTATTAGCATTTTTTATTTTATAGATATTTAGAGAAAATTTAGGGTCACAGGTAAATTGAGGAAGGCACAGAAACATCCTACACGCTTCCTATCACCTGAGCAACATCTCCATTGTCAACATTCCCCATAAGCATCTTTTAATAACTAACGTCTACACTTAATTCAGACTTCCTGAGCTCTTACCTAATATCCGTTTCCTGTTCCGGGACCCCATCCAGGGCACCACGTGACATTGAGTCATCTCTTCGGAGGCTGCTCTTGGCTAAGTTTCTCGGTTCCTTGTTTTTGATGACCTTGGCAGTTTTTGAGAAGTATTTTTAGGTTGTTCTTCAGCTGGAATGGGGATTTGTTTGGTGTCTTTGTCATGCTCGGGTCAGGCTTACCAGTTCTTAGGTGGAAAGACCACCACCAAAGCAGGCTGTTCTTAGCCCGCATAGCTGGGTCTTGGGCTATGAAGATAATTTACAGTGTGGAGATTAGCTTTCATTAGGCTGAGTCAGTGTTTGCTGGGTTTTTTCCACTTGGCAAGCCACTTTCCTCCCCTTCACCTCCAGTACTCATAGAAGGAAGTCACTGTGTGCTGTGTAAGGAGCGGGTGTTACTACACGCCACTTCCTTCAGAGTAGAGCAACAATATGTATGAACTATTTGGAATTTTTCCATGTGAGTGCTTGGTTAATCCTCTACTCACATTCATTCAGTCATTCATTTATATCCGTTTGATATATTAATATTTACTCTATGCTTTGTGCTATAATTTAATCCTATTGAATGTTTTTGGTTAAGTCACTCCTTACGTCAGTTCTCTAGGGTCGCCATAACAGCACAGACTGAGGGGATGAACTGACAGTTTTATGTCTCAGAGTGATGCTTCAGGGATCAGCTTCCCTTGGCTTGGAGATGGCAGCTCTGTGTTGTCCTCTGTGTGCGTCCATATCCCGATGTCCACTTCTTACAAAGACATGCGTGAGATTGATGGAAACACAACTGCCATCCCCTCACCGTAACCTCTTACCTCTTTTGAAGTACAGCCCAGTTCTGAAGTGCTGGGGAGATGGGGCAGAATGTGAATTTCAGAGGAACAGCGTTCGGCTCATGCTATTGCTTGAAGGCCTCTTGAGGAGATAATCATTTTTGCCAAGCATTAATCAGGAGTGGTGGACATGGGCTATGTTTTGTAGCTTACCTTATCAACACTGTCATCCTGTCAAGAGGCAATAGTGTGCCTTCCCTACAGTAGCTGAGGGTGGAGAATTGGAAACCAGCTGCTTTGCTATGGGAATGGAATGCTGTGACTGAGGACCCTCTGTTGCGGCCATAATGATATCGTGGGGCCCAAATGTGTTCAGAGGAACCAAGAGAACTTTCAGGCAAGCTGTGTAAGTGAGGTGTGGGACGTTAACTGGGAAACTTGTGGCCACATGCTTTTTGTGTGAGCTGTCTCTGCCGTTACTGAAAAGCATCATCTCTAGCTACGTGATTGTACCCAGAAGCTGGAAGTATGATCTCAGTGCTAAAAATGTGGAAGAAAAATCGGTGATTTATTTGCTTTTTTATTTTTGTAAAGCTGGGGATGAAACCCAGAGCATCAAATGTGCTGGACAAGCCCTCTACAATTGAGTTTATCCCCATCTCAAGTTGGAAGATTACTTCAAGGGTAACTGCTGCTTAACCTGTGTGCCAGTCAGTATGGCACAGAAGGATCTTTGTCTCTATTCTTAGCTAAGGGTCATGCAACGAAAAGCCTTCTGATGTGCACCTTGACCAGAGCGGGTATGGGTGTTGTGTAATGAACACCTATCCCTGGGCCCTTAGCCCAATCTTTGAAGCCACCTGAGTTGATCATGACCTCACAGACAAGAGAGCCTGCTAGGTTCTGTGCTTTCAGCATGTCT